AGTACGTGAGCTTTAAAAATTGACTGACAAAAGATGAAATTTGAAATGGGCAAAATCAAATACTTATGTAACTACGAGATGTCACCCAATATTTATGAAACACTCATAACCCTCTGAACTTAGATGCAATCAGTCGGTCCTAATGACTGTAACTATGCGTCGACATTCTAACGCGTCTCGTCATAGCACGTGGACAGCGGGAAGGACATCAGTCCCATCATTTCTGTAGCTTAAGGAGAGTCACGTTCCTTCTTGATTTAGAGAATTCTGTTTTGGCTAATTTAAAAGTAAGCCACGTCTCCCTTGTGCTACCATTACCGCTGGCAGTCTGGAAACAGATCACAAATGACAGTTTAGTGAATCTAATAATTTTCTATTTCAACTATTTTTTCTTTCCTTTTTTTTTGTTAACACTTTTTTTTTCATTTCCACTTAATTTTTTAAGCTTTTGGGGGGGTAATTAACTTTATTTAATTTTTTTAAACAGAGGTACTAGGAATTGAACCTAGGATCTTGTACATACTAAGCATGAACTCTACCACTGAGCTATCCCGCCCCCCCAAGTTTCAACTATTGAAGCAGAGATTTGTTCAAACAAAGCAAAGCTGTGAATCAGCTGGCTAGTCAATAAAAAAGGTAGCTCCCCCAAAAATGCTTGACTAGGAAGGAAGACACCCTTGCAGAGATGGTCCATGCTCATCAAATATCTCATGTGCTTCCCTATATTTCTTGGTATCCCCTACAATTCAGTTGGGGTTAAACTTTCAATAAACAACCTTATAATTCTCTATGCTACACACACATAGAAATAAAAGTTCATAATTTTTCATAATTACACGCACATAAGATATTCATGCAACAGTTCCTTTCTTATGCAACAATGTATTATAGACATTTCTCTGTATCACGCAGGAAGCCCGTAGCTGAACACTTTTAATGGTTATAAATACACACCCAGTGTGTATGTGTGTGTGTGTGTGTGTGTATATGTATGGTGTGTATGTGTGTGTGTATATATATATATCATGATTTTCTTAACCAAGTGCCTCTACTGGTGGACATTTATCTCATTTCCCTTTTTTTAATAACATAAAAATACTCTGACTTCTGTTTTGGGTGGTGTGAATCTAGAGGTCACATTCCTAGTGCAATTGTTTGGTAAAACAGTATGTACATGTCAGACTTCCCTTCAAAATGGCTGTACCGCTTCATACTCCTAAAAACACGCATGCGAGGGTATGTGGCTTCATGCTCTCATCAACACCAACACTGACATTGTTTCTAACCTTTTCTGATACCAGAGGTGAGAATGTTGGCATCTTCCTTGTTTATTTGTACTTATTTCATTACTACTAAGGTGTTATACCATTTCTACTTCATTCTCCTACTTTTCCTTTTGAGCATTCTTCATTTTAATTGATTTTTTAAGAGTTCAGTCTATACTAGGAACAAAAACTCGTTATCAATTATATAAGTTACAAATATTTCTCCCCATTTGTCACTTGTCTTGAAATCTTGAGATCTATTTTTTCTTTTGCTCCAAAGAAGTCTTAAATTTTAATGTTATCAGTGATCAACTTTTCTTTTTCCTGCATTATTTTAAACATGACATATAAAGCATTTTTTCCACTGTTGCTACATAATCATATTTTCAAAGGTTATACAATTTATGTAACCTCCATTTTTCAGCCACTAAATCATTTATCATTTTCATTATAAGTAGTAAACAAAGTTGTGCATTTTGTTTTTCGTATTTTGGATGATTTCCTAAAGATAGAGTCTTAGAATCTTCGCATAACTGGGTATAATCACATTTATGGCTCTGAAAGCATATCACCAAGTATTTTTTAAAGGTTATATGGGCTTCAGGGAAGATCGAGCCGATGCATTCTTCCCTGTTCCTCCTCACAAGTACAACTAACCCCCCTGGGCATTCTACATAAAACAAACGCAATATATTGAAAGGTGGAGAGAAGGCAGACTGGCTAGTGTCCTTGGTCTCAGAGAGCGACCCAGAAGCTAGTTCCCTGGGTTTTCTTTTGGCCTCATATATCACAGACTGAGTGCCAAAGCAGCAGACAAGAAATGCCAGTGGGCAAAAACAAAAAGGGTCCAAATGAAAAACTACCCCCTCTAGCCAAAAGAGCAGAAAGGGGGCAGCCTAGGAGGACAGAAACCTCTACATTCTACTGCAGACAAACACCACATAAAGAAACTTTGCCCCCCTGCCCACCACACATCCAGCAAAGGTCAAGTGGGGCGTCTAGACCTCCACTCTTACCAAGATATAGTGAAGTGCCCAACTCCTCTGCTGAGGTGGCATCAGAGAAGGACAATTAGGGGACTGGGACTTTCATTCCTACCAGGAGGGAGCAAAGCCCCAGGGCCAGTGAAGACCATGTAGGGAGCCTGGACTTCCACCCCACCACCTGGCAGTAATGAGGTAGACCCCCTCTCTGCTGCAGTGGTATCAGAGGTGGTCTAACTTTAACCACCTCCATCCAGTAGTAACAAGGCCACACCAACCCTCAGGTGTCCGTGGAGGCCAAGGGGGGAACACAGACTTTTACCCTCACACAGCAGTAAAGTGGTGATACCTTATTCACCTGCTAGAGTGGTGTCAGAGTAAGCCCGCTAAAACAGGAGTTTTAGATAAAATCCAGAATCTTGCAACATAATACCTAAAATGTCCAAAATCAATTGACTATCACTCATCATACCAAGAACCAGGAGGATCTCAAACTGCATGAAGAAAGACCATCAGGAGATGTCAACATCAAGATGACAGAGCTATTAGAATTATCTGACAAAAATTTTAAAGCAGCCATTATAAAAATATTCAACAAGCAATTGCAAACACACATGAAACAGATGAAAAAATAGTCTTAGCAAAGAAGTAGAAAAATATCAGCAAAGAAATAGAAGGTATAAACAAGAACCAAACGGAAATTTTAGAACTGAAAAGTACACTGACAGAAGTAACTGAATGGAGGGACTTAAGAATGGAAGAGACAGAGGAAAGAATTGGAGAACTAGAAGACAGCACAATGGAAACTACCTAATCTGAAAACCAGAGAGCAAACAGGCTGGGGGAAAAGGAGCAGAGCCTCAAAAACCTTTGCCACCATAACAAAAGGTCACATCCTTGGAATCCTAGGACAGGAGGGAGGGCTGAAAAAATACCTGAAGAAATAATGGCTGAAAACTTCCCAAATTTGGCAAATGGTATAAAACTACAGAATCCAGAAGTCAATCAAATCCCAAACAAGATAAACCCAAAGAAATCCATGACAAGACACAGAGGTGAACTTCTGAGAACTAAAAAAAGAAAATAGCTTAAAACAGAAATGACACTTGACCTATAAGAGAAAAATCAACTTGAATTACTCCAGCTTTCTCATCAGAAACTATGGAGGCTACAAGGAAGCGGCACATGCTTCAAGTACTGAGAGAAAACAACTGCCACCACACAATCCTATATCCAGTGAAAGCATCCTTTAAGAATGAAGGCGAAATCACTACATTCTCAGATGAAGGGAAACGAAGAGTAGTTATCACTGGCAGACCGACCCTGCCGAATGGTACAAGAAGTTCTCTAAGCAAAAGAAAATTATAAAAGAAGAAACCTTGGTAAATCAGAATTAAAAAATAAAACAAAACACACCAGTGGGGAGGGTATAACTCAAGTGGTAGAGTGTGCTTAGCATGCTTGTGGTCCTGGGTTCAATGCCCCTACCTCCCCTAAAAATTAATAAATAAACCTAATTACTACCCCCCTCCAACAGCAACAAAAAAAATACATTTCTTAATTTCTAAAAAAAAAAAGTAACACACACACAGAAAACAAAACACATCAAGCGAAACATAGGTAAATACAATAGTCTTCCTTTCTCCTCTTGAGTTTTCTAAGTTATTTTTGACAGTTGAAGCAAAAATCTTAACACTGTTACAGCTCTAAATGTAAGCAGGAGAGATAGCTAGAAAAATTATATTTCAATAAGGCTTTCTCTCCCCCTAGAGTGCTCAAAACATAAAAGGTCTGGGAATAATCATGTATCAACCAACAATATTTCTGCATTATGTTGACATCATTCCCTGCTTATCAATCGCCTTTCCGGTGATCTGCATCAAAGAAAGAAACAGTGCAGAATAGACTGTGGATGCCATCAACACTGATGGCATTTTCTTTTTGGACGAGGTTACTGGGTATGATGCCATAGTCACAGAATATCATGACAATACTTCTGTACAAAGATGGAGCCACAGAATTTCCAGTAAGAGTTCATTGTTAACAGATCCATGCAACTTGCCTTAGTTCTGTCTTGTTAAGAATTTTTAAAATAAATTACGGGGCAGTGGGGGTGGGGAGGGTGGGGAGGATATAGCTCAGTGGTAGAGTGCACACTTAGCATTCATGAGGTCCTGGGCTCAATGCCCATTACCTCTCATTAAAAGATAAATAAATAAATAAACCTAAGTACGTCCCGCTCACTGAATGAATGAGTGAATGAATGAATAAATAAATAAAAGGTGGCTGTTGCAATTTGCAGAAGTCTTAAAACAGGAAGAGATCACAATAAAAATAGGTAAGAAGCAAAGATTCCAAACAGTCTTACAGAGAAGATGCTCAAATCCAACAAGACAAATGGCGCCACACAGTATACGTGGTTTTGCGCCTTGGCCACAGCTATTTAAGCTGACTTGCTGTACTTTCCCAGGTTGCCAGAAACACAACATCATTGTGTTTCTCCTACCTAATGTCACCCTCAGTCTTTCCAAGAGTCAGACCACTAATGGCTGCTTTCTCTACAACACTGCACTAATAACGTTACTGAAATTATTATTTTGGGGAATATGTTGATACACAGCACAGGGTTTCAGAAAATGTCACTATTATTTTTTTTAAAAAAAAGGCAATAAAGTGTGACTCACATCCATGGTCTTCTTGAATTGTAAGCTCTTTTGTTTATGGGCGGCGTCCATTATGAGCTCCGTCTGTGAAGAGAGCACAGGCACCGTGAATAATCAAAACCACTGTTAACACCGGCTTATCTTGAGGGCAAAGTGTTCCGCGTGGATTATCTCAGCCGCTCGCAGCCCCGAAGGTGGATGTGCTATTTACTGTTACTCCCATTTCACAAACAAGGAGACTGCAGCACAGAAAGGCTGAGCAATTTGCCCAAGGTCTTACGTCTTAGAACCTGGGTGGCCACCATTAAGAACCACAGATCACCTTAAAGTGGCCTCATCTGGAGGAAATCTGGAATCAAGGAATTTAGGATTCAAAAAGGGACTTTAAAACTTTTGTTAAGCACCATTTATATGTTAAGGGGGTCTTTATTCTGTAAGCCCAAGTCGGCACAGTTAAGTTAGGGACTCAGAAACATTTTTTGTGGCATCCATCGGTGACACACCCTTCGCCAGCCCAAGGAGCCCAGGCAGAATGAAGGGAAGAACTGCTGTGGGACAGTTAGAAGCAGCTGTTCCCCTACTCTCTGCCCTATCTGATCCAGGAAACGTAAGCTACTCTGTCGAGGCCACGTGGGAGCAATTTCTTTGCTGTGGTTGTGATGTTAATGCTTTTATTAGTCAAAATAACGGAGCTAATAAGAAAAATGCACCTCTCAGACATCACAGTAGCTCCCATTTATCAAGCATTATTATGCGCTAAGCAACTTTCATGCATCACAACAACGGTGAGTACTCACCCCCATTTTCTTGACAATAAACTGATATGGATTAATTTGCCCAAGGTAACACTCTCAGTAAGCAGTAGAGTTGGGATTTGGGCACAGCCTGACTCCCTTGCCCTTGTTCCTAATCATTACCCTAAACAACCATTATCCCTATGAGAGCTTTATAAAGCCAAACGGGTATATAAAAGACCAAGAGATGCAATAATTGACAATGAGCTATGGCATTGCTCTTGAACAAAATGACGTAACGCAAAACAATATTGAAAACGATATTCAAATGTTTCTCTTTCTTCTGGAAAATTAAGTTTTTGTCTGTTATCATAGCACACAAACATGGATGGAAATTTTATTATGTCTTATTATCCATAACACAAACTAGGGGGTCAAAACAGTCATCTCTGCTATAAAGTGGAAAAAAGCAAGGGTGGGGGTGGGGAGGAAGAAGAGATGTAGAAATGACCCAAATGACCCTGCAGTGAGTTACTGACATAGCCGCTGAGTGATCTGTCTGTCTGCCTGTCTACCCACACTCAGATTGTACTCTGAAAACTGAAAGTGAAGACCAGTGTAACCAAGGAGTTTCCCATCTTTGGAGATCGCTCTGCCACAGGTGGAACATTCTGCAGGGATCGTCCCAATCTCAGAGACAAGCATGATGTGGGCGCCAGAGGAGAGAGTGACTGACCTCGTGCTGTCTTGGTCAGGCTTAGCACGCTCTGGGCTGGGGCAGGAACCTCGGCAGCTAAAACATCAAGACTCCTGAGAGTGTTTCTGAAGATCCCTCTCTGCCTGCCAACCTCCAGGGGTGAGAGCCTCCTCTCCCTCCACCCTCACCTACTCTGCCTTTCACTCTGCTGGCGTTAGCTTCCTCCAGGAGGCCTCCCCAGGCCCACAGATTGGGTTCAGTGCCCCCCCTGCATGTTCAGTGGGCATGTTCATGCCCCTACCTTCTAGGGCTCATCACACTTTGTCGTGATTACTGTCATGGCCGTGCTCCATGCTCAGTGGGGCAGGGATGACCCTGTCCATGCTGTCCACCACCATCAGAAACATGACTTGAAAAAGCAAGTACACCATAAACTTCTACCAGCCATGCCATCCGCACCTCCCTGCCCCAGTTTGCCGAAAGAAACCAACTGATGGATTTGATTAATTTCCAAGAAGTGAAAGACCCACATGTGCAGGGTTTGACCAGTGAAAATGACAAGTTAGCACCGACACATTTTCTCCCAAAGTTTGATTCTTTTTTTTAAGTATCTAAATACAGAAGTGGCACAACCCAGAGTGCATTGTGACACAAGGAATTATTACAAATTTATTAACAAACTTTGGACTTCAAGCCCAGGGTGGTATTTTCCTGCTGTCAAGGGCACAGAGAATGTAGGGAGCTTGGATGACAGCGGCAGAATGAGCCCAGGCTCCTCGATTGCTTAAGACAATTCGGAGCACGTTCTTCCAGCTACAAGAACTCGGTCTTTGCAATGTGCTCGGAGGGGAAGTTTCAGAAGCCTTGCAAAATGAACAAAACTCTCCCTGAAATCACTAGGGCAACCCCAGGCCACTTGAAAATGTGAGGAAATGACCCTCTTCTCCTCTTAGTGGAAATCACGTGTGCACTCTGGGTGTCTCAGGCATTTTGCTTTTGAAAAAAATTGTAAATCCTCTGAAGAGGTGGGGAGGGCTGGTCAAGGGAGCCAGAAAGAATCTGACCATCCAATGGATGCATGTGCTATATGTATTATTTCTGCTCTGAAAAATACTTTGGGCCAGATGCACCCCTCAAACCTGATACATGAAGCTTGAGGCTTTGTGAAAACACCTGACACAGTGTTCCTTAAATGTTACTTTCTGCCTTTCCTTCCTAGATGAGGCCCAGCTGTCAGAGCAGCTCATGAAATGACAATTGATACGAGGCAGTCAGGCTCTTGAGATGCTGCCACCCACTCCAAATGCCAGGTGGCCACCAAGGAGGCTGGAATTAGATCCTGAATTAGAACCACACACAGAGTTGCTGAGATTGGGGTAGGGGTAGAACCAGCTGTTTATTAGATACACACACTGCAGACAATGACTTCCAGACAGTAAAGGGCCTGGAGGAGGAAAGGTCTCCAAAGAGTCCATGCAGAGCTCTCTGGGGAAACCTGGGTGAGAGAATGTTTGGATGCCAGACAGGGAAGAGCTTATCCCCCAAGTGAACGTCATTCAAAACATGGAGACCAGACATAATAAAGAATTTCTGGAAGGGCCCTACCTGGCTGCCAAGACAACCTGAATGTTCAAGTCTTTTAAGAACAAAACAGGAGGGATTCAGAACAGTGCCTGTCTAGCCTAAGAATATTTTAATATAAATCTAGACTTCTTTTCTTGATCCTTATAACTTCCCAGATGTTTGTCAGTTTTATTAACTCTCGCTCACTTCCAACTCTTTCCATGTAGTTGGCCAGCGTAAATCCCATCAACAAAAAAGAGCCTGTGTACATGTGTTTTGAAGCCAAAAAGGACTTGAATTTCCCAGGGCCTCAGTTTCCCTGTTCATAAAATAGGGTGCTTGGATGACATTATGGTCTCCAAGGAGAATGTGAGTCCCCTCCACTCATTACCCTCCCCTCACTGCCTTGCCCAGGAGGAGCGATGTGGTCTGAGAGCCACCAGCTTGGCTGTGCTAGACCCTAATGAAGACAGGGGGTTCCCCTTTCCAGTCATAGTCTGAAGAGGGGCAGCAGATCTAAAGAGAGGAAGGCAGGCTGGATCCCTGGCTCCTGCAACAATTAAAAAAAAAAAACTGGCCTGGTGTGTGAACAGGCACAGAGGTAACATAGTCTAGACTGAGTAGCACATGGTTCCCAGGTAAATAATCTTGTAGGTTCCCAGGTAAATAATCTTGTAGGTTCATGAAAGAGCACAGTTGCTTGAAGGTGAGAGTCGAGCCAAGGAGTTTAATGAACAAACAAGTCTGGAGTTTTCTGCTGGAAGAAAGGCAATGTCTTAACACACATGCAAACCAACCTTCTTCTGTTGTGACTTTTGCTTTTCCCTGAATTCTTCCATCTTCCTGGCCTCTTCTCTTAGAGTCTGTGCAAGCTGAATGTGACTTTGGGCCACATTGTCAACTTCTGCAAGAAGAATATAAAAATAAGTAACTAAACAAGATCTACACATGTCTGAATTCAAACATATAAAACTATACAGAAATTTTAAATATATACAAAACACTTGGGCAAGTGGTTAAACTACCGCACTTGGTCACCAACATTTATTGAGTCCTTCCATGAGTTCAGCATTGCCCTGGCCACCAAGACCAAGCTGGCAAAACTTTAGCTTAGCTTCCTACCACTAACTGCTAGTAACCTAGTGTATGCCCAGGGCCAGAGAGAAGCTCACGGAGCTCGGATGCTGGACACGTTACTAACCCCACTATAATTTCAAATTCAATCCTGTTTCTCATTAGGCGACTTTAAGGTTCTTTCCATGTCTAACATCTCATGAGCCTGTAAGAAATTTATCTCCAGAGAGAGAGACTATTGGTGTTTTCCCCTTATTTTCTAAGATCTTTGCAATGAACATGGCATACCTTTCTATCAAAGAAACTGAAAATTTTTCTGTTTCTTGTTGTAAGAAAAACAAGTTGAAGATGGAATTAAAGCTAGAAAAACCGACAGATCTGACCAAAGAAAAAATTTTAAACATCTGTGTGTCAAAATAGCCTTGAACAAGTTTAGAGGATACATGACAAACTGGAAAAAATATTTGCAATTTATATAACAAAGACTAAATAGCTATATTAAAAGAGCTTTCACAAATATGTGTGTGTGTGTTACAGTATAAAAAACTGGTTAAAGAACATGAAATTTTTGAAAAGATTGGCTAACTGGCCAGTAAACACTTGAAAATGTATTCAGCCTTGAAACTACTGGGGAAAAAAAAAGGCAAAACTTTAAAACCGAGAAGTGTATCACTTTTTACCTTTCAGTTTGGCAAATTTTTTTAAGTGTAAAAATTCTTGGTATTGGCAAGCATGAGGAAAAACAGCGCTACTGGTGGGGAAAAAAATCAGTATAACCTTTCAGGTGGAAATGTGGCATTTTTAGAATAAAAAACTTTAAATGTAAGAGTGAGGCAGATCTATGCAAATATTAATTAGTATATATAAAAGAGATAAACAAGTTCTTCTGTACAGCACAGAGAACTTATAATGAAAAAGAATGTGAAAACAAATATACGTATGTACATGTATGATTGAAACATTATGCTGTCCATACACCAGGAATTGACACAACATTGTAAACTGACTCTACTGAAATTAAACAAAAGAATAAAAATAAATTAATTAATTTTTTTAAAAAAAGAGTGGGGCAGATCTACATGAACTGAAATGGAAACACAGACATGAAGTAGTTACAGAAACATTTTAAGTACAAACTGGGCCACGTTAAAGTCCTTAGCTTGGAAGCACCCAGAACAGAAAGCCTTAAAGGCAGTTTCTGAGGAACAGGCCTGGGGATACTAGAACCAGACAGGACCCCTTGAAGACCAAAGTGCCAGGGCCTCGCCCTGGATTTCAAGGGTGAGAACCACTGCCCTAAATAAATCAAATACACATCATGACGTGTTAGGCATGATGGCTCTCCAGCTCATTTCGACTCTGCAGAGCTATTTCTCACCTGAGTGGTTGCTCTAACTTTTTTTCACCCAGTACAAGATTGCTGGTCAAATTAAAAACCACCTTTGATGACAGACATAGAACTTGCCAAGGACAACAAATGCTTTTTTAAAGAGTCACTCACGCTGCTTGAAGACCTCAAGGGCACGCCTCAGGGTGCTGAAAAAAACAAGCATGTGTTACAGCTTCAGTTCTGGAAATTGGCTGTGCAACCTCATTATGATGCCATTGCATGCTTCTCTCCGCTCACATCTTAACTTACAGCCTATGGTCTAATCTTTGCCTGTGAGCTTGAGAGACAGCCAAAGATCAAGACTTCTTCAATCCAGTTTCCCCCCTTTTTTACTCTCTCCATCCCAGCTACAAGCATCAAAAATGCTTCACTGTCCACTTGGGTGGAGTAAGATGCCAAAATTCTTTATGCTTTGATTCCCCCAGTGATAACATAGGACTTAAGGTCCCTTTCTCATAAGAATACCAGTCATCCTTCAAAGTATGGTAGTTAGAAATATGGATACAGCCAATAAAGGAACAATTCAAACTCTGGCTCCTGATCATCCCCTTTCTCATCCATTCATCAATTACATACACTACAAGCACATAAACTATGGGCCAGGCATTGCGTGAGATCTTGGTGATTCGATGGTACAAGGCAGACATCACCCCAGAATTGAGGGTCTTAATGCAGGAGACAAAACAATACATATATCTTACAGTTTCTGGGGTGAAAACCATGACTCATTTTTCATACTTTCTCCAATCTTCCCCCGCCATAACCCCTGGCTCCTCCCCGTTTATAGCTCCCCCTTGCCCATGGTTTTAGTTTTCCCTCACCCTACACTTCCTTAATTAGGCCTCCTTCTGAGGTCTCGTGGTTCTGGGGACTTTCTTGCTCATTGCCACCTTCAGGGAAGCAGATCTCACCAGGCTCACTCTAGCCAAGTAGGCGCACTCAAGCAGGAGTGGGACTTTGTGAATTCGTGGTCTCCTAGCCCCAGCCACAACAGCATAGGACCATGGGTCATATTCTATATGTACACATGTATGTGGCAAATTCTGCTATTTTGCAAACTAAAAACCTTGTATCTTCCAGCTGGCCCCTTCTTTTAGCGACACCTCATTTCTCCCACTCGATTTATTCATTCCCAAACAAAGGGTTCTTATTTCTCCCTGCCTTTTCTCACATATACATTCCCAATGATTACAAACACCTCAAGCAGAGAAACATAAATGCACATTCTCCATACACTTTAACCAGCTTGTGATACAATTTTTCAAGGAACGCAATGCGCTAAGGAAAGTGTCCACATCCAGACAAATGCACGTAGTCCAGAAGGGTGGATAAGCACCACTGGAGAGCGGACTTAGAACTGGAATTAATGAGAGAGAAACATGGCCACAGATACAACAAGAAGTCGTGCAGCTGGAAAGTGACTTATAGATAGTCTGTTCGGGGTCTAAAATTTTTCTCCCAGCCTAAGTGACTGCCTAAAAGGCCACTAAAGGATCAGCCCCAAGCTCCCTTTAGTCTGCCATCAGCTTTGTTGTTCCACGACGCCACATTCATTTCCTACGTTTCAGAACCGGGTTACACCCCGAGGGTAGAGTCTGAACCTCGGGGATGGTGTTCCAGCAACATCCACGTCCTCTTCTCCATGGTGTTTTCCTTAACGGTGGGAGAAGGAAGTGTCCTACCACCCTTTTGGTAAGCACATTGCCCTAAATTCTAACCAGGCCCATCTGAAGCCAAAGTCTCTCAATGTGATGAACGAGGTAAAAAATCCTGCATCATCTGTGGATGAGCAAAGATGTGCCCCTCTTTTTGGGTACCTTCCTAAAGGCCACCCTGAAGATGACAAAACAGAAGTACCCAAATGGTCTGTCACTTCAACTCTGGAAACACAGTCCCCGGATCTCATAAGCTGTTGCATCTTCCTCTTGAGGCAGACTCTTCGAAGGAAAACTGACAGGTTTTGCCACAGAACAGAAGAGAATGTGCTAGTCTCTCTTTGCGTTCACTAGGTCAGAAGTACAAGAATATAAGAAACATTGGGGGGAGGGTGTAACTCAGTGGTAGAGCGCATGCTTGGAATGCATGAGGTCCTGGGTTCAATCCCGGTACCTCTGTTAAAAATAAATAAGTAAATAAAATAAACCAAATTATCTCCCCTACCAAAAAAATTTTTTTAATTTTTAATTTTAAAAAAAGAATATAAGAAATATCATTTGGGGTCAGACTCATTCTACTAAATACCTTTTCCAAGAACCACCATGTGAGAGAATATGGCTATTTTCCATTGCATCACCTTAAAAATTTTTGGATGTCTTCCCAAACGGCTTATGCTTTCTTTATAAATAAACAAGTTTTTGGATCAATTGACCCACAATATGCCTTGAAATTATCTAAACCCTCCTTGAGTGACAGTGGAATTTACCTAAGTCTGCACAGTTCTGAACATGGAAACGTTTCACACATTCAAAACATGAACCTAAATCAAGCAGGGAAAGAAAACAATCTTTAAAATTTAAAACAAATAAATGTAACTATGTATGAAACTGTTTACATAGACACACAGAGGAAAGAAGTATTTTAAGTGACCTTAGTACACAAGTATCCTTAGCGGGATGTCAGGTCAAGAGGAACCGCAAAGGAATGTTAAGTGTCATTTGGAAGTTTTACTGTCAGGAGCAGTAGTAATATTACTTTGAACCATTCTCGTATATATTGTACAAAGCAAATAATTATGCTAATTTTGTCAGAAATCAATATTTTTCAGTGCAAGAGTACATGAATACAAAAATTAGAGAAATTAAGTGAACTTCAAAGTTAAATGAGAATTGGAAATGTCGATTTGAACTCATGCTTTTAAACCAGTCCCCTGAAAGGGCCCAGAAACAGTGACAATGACCAATGCTAGAACTCAAGAGTTTCATCTCTAAATATGGTTAATCACTAAAGGGAACCAGGTATACTTGGAGAAATAGCCGACTCCAGGTTTAAATTCACAAAAAAAATATATTAAGAAAATACGGCAATGATGAGTCATTGTTAAATCTGGGTCATGGGTATATAACCATTCGTCATGTCTTTTTACTTCTCAGTGTTTTTTAACATTCCATTTAAAATGTCAGAAATGAAATATAATGTAATCAATAAACAAATTCTCCTTGTACTAATGCCTAGGGTTTTTTTTTAACACCTTTATTGTGGAATGATGCCTGTACAGTGAACGCCACATATTTCAGATGTGCACTGTGATGAATTTTGATAGATGTGTACAGCCATGAAACCACCACCACAGTCAAGACAGCTAACATTTCCATCAGTCTGAAGGTAACAAGTGTTTTAGCCTTCTGTAACTACTCATATTTTAAATATCTCCAATGTTTTCCTCCTTCTCAATAATCCAGTACTTTGCTTTGCAGACTGGGATGAATATGTGTGTGTGTGTGTGTGTGTGTGTGTGTGTGTGTGTGTTTGGGTGCGTGTGTGTTAGAAGCAAGAGAAGGAGCAGGGCAATGTCTTGTCTGCTGCCCGTGCTGTCTCTGAGGGGACACAGTCCTCGGGGAAGTCCCGCTGCCATCCACAGGACAGCCAAAGCAGTGTGCAGGTCTGCATGTGATGTGATTACATCTGCAGAGACTCGCAAAGGTCTGCCTACACCGTTTCCTCCGTCTCCCTCAATAAGCTCTGGGGAGAAGGAATCTAGAAATTTCCATGTCAGCAGGACTGGCTACATAATTTGTGAGACCTACTGCAAAATGGAAATACGGGACCCCTTGTTTATAAATTACTAAGAATTTCAAATAGTGACAGCAAAGAGCATTAAACCAATTGTGAAGGCTATCTAAGCGTGAGATCCCATAGGACTGCCCATGAAGCCACACACAGAAATGAAGGAGTGAGCTCCTAGAGTAGGCACCATGTCTGGCCACCTCTGTGTCCTCAGCGTAGTCAGTGAATGATAGGAGAGTAAATGATTGTGGTTTAGAAATACCACATTGGTGGTGAGAACTATAAAATGGTGCAAAGACAGTCTCTCGCAGTTATCACAAACTACGTGTGTGTGTGTGTATATAATAAAGCAAGACTACCCTCTATTCAATTTCTGGTATTGGGAGGAGAGTACAGCTCAGTGGTAGAGCGTGTGCTTAGTGTGCATGAGGTCCCGGGTTCCATCCCCAGCACCTCCTCTAAAAAGAAATACACAAGCCTAATTACCTCCCCCTCCAAATAAGTAAATACAATTTTTTTTAATTTCTGGTATAAAATGATATATAATTCTACCTACAACTATATGTAGGAAAGGTCTTCAAGGAAAATTTAGAGAAAATGAATGATGGGTTGGGGCATCATAGTTTATTTTAGCTTCCTATTTTTCTATATATTTTTCACAACTGAAAATAAGAAAAATTAATTTTTTTTTTACCCACACAGTCCACCGACTGGCTAGCTCTGTGCTGAAGTGATGGGCCCTCTAAGCAGCACTAGCCAACCTGGAAACCAGAACAAAATGTGGCACCTACTTGGTCTCAGACTGTCCACAGGGCTTCTTTCGAGAGAGGCTGAGCAGGTCTTTGCCATATTTCTCTTCAATTGATGCCCTAAGGGGAGCAGAAGAGAGGGTTATGATCCTTCTCAGGGCTGACTCTTGCTTAAGACACATGGTACCTCCCTTAAAGGCAAAACTATACAAAACAGGAGAAACTCAGATATGACAACATTCTCTAAAATGCAAAACTCTAAGTAACAGGGAAGAACTGTAAAAGGCCAGTGGCCTTCATCTCTAAGGTTATTTGGGTTCATCTTGTTGCTGGGACTGTGGGCAACCCTCTCTGTCTGCTCTAAGACCATGCGAGTGAATTCTCCCTCGTGCCCTTCTGATCTTATACAGCCTTCCCTCGCTACCACACTTTCAGCAAGAATCCTGGTTTCCTCTGGCCTCTACTCCTCTTGGATGCTATTTCTAAAGTTTTCGCCAACTCCTGATAATATAAAGTGAAGCCCACCTAAAACTGACTCTAGTTATAAAAAAAGGATGCATTTTTACTCGCTAGAAGCTATTTATACCTTTCGGAATCTCTGTTCACTATTTCTACATAAAAATTATAATACTCTACAATGAACATTTAATATTTTACATGCAAAAAGACATTAAGGCCATTTTCACTTATATATATATGTGTGTGTGTATGTGTATATATATACATACATACACACACACACGTGCATGTATTTTATCCTTTGAGAATTATATCCATTAAGATTTCTTGATAATCTTTTGTGGCTTCCAGGAAGAGAAGTTAATTCCTTTCTTCTAACACTAAGGCACCATGAATCTGAACTCACCCCAGGCAGCACCCGATACCCGCGGAAAGACGGATAAGCGCAGTCAGCCCTCCCCATCCGCGGGTTCTGCATTTGCAAATCCAACCAACTATGGGGATGAAAAATACTTGGGGGGAAAATTTCGAGAAAGTTCCAAAAAGCGAAAACTTCAATTTGCCACGCCTGCACTATTCACACAGCATTCACTCTGTATTAGGGTATGATAAGTGAACCAGGGGATAAGAAGTATACGAGAAGTTGTGTGCAGTTGGTACACAAATACACATCATTTTACGTAAGGACTGAGCATTCATAGATTTGGCATCCTCAGAGTCCAGGAACCAATCCCCTGTGGATGTTAACGGATGACTATAATGAGCTCCAGCAGGCACGATGGTGTCCTCTTTGGAGAAAAGAAGGCACTCTGATGAAGGTAAAACTATAGCCTTGTCCTCCTGAAATCAGGGGACCGACCACATGATTGGGAGAGTGTTTCCCCAGCAAATGGGAATCAGTGGAGTTCAGGGGCCTGTAGCCAATGAAGGAATCGCTTAGACTTTGCAAAAACCACCCCTGAATAGGTAAGCCTTTGCCTGGATCACCCTCCTACCACCTATCCAAATTTTTCCCTCTCATCTGTTCATCAATTTGTCATTTATTGAACATCCACTGTGTGTCAGGCATCATATTACTGAGAGCACAGAGATGACTGAAATACGAGGCCTACCCAGAGGAGCTTGGCGGCGGCAGGGTGGGGTGTAAGCCAATACCTTCATTTACTACCATGTAACAAGGGCCAGGACGAAAAAGTACCAAATGTATAGGTGACAGAAGAGGGAATACTAGTCTAAGCACTCAGCTGGCTACAGTCTCTTCACAAGCCCTCCTTGAAAATTCCAGCTCACTTTTACTCAAATTCCCAGACCAGAAGTAATCCCTGTGCCACTTCCTCGTCACCAACCCACTGCAGATACTGTCAGATTTGACCTTTTCCATCAGGCCTGAAAGGGACCTCAGGCTGATTCCCAACCCTGTGCTCCTGGCAGCCCCAAAGTCGGAGTGGGCGTGCAAATGAAGTCCTTCTGCTATAAAACCTGACACTTAAATATTTTGTTCATTTTTAGCAGATATGGCAATCACAGCACCTCAACTGAAGTCTGAATTCCTTGAGAAGAACCGCATTGTTAGGTCCAGAGGGGCTCTTACAAGATATCTAATGCAAGCCCTTCATTTTACAGAGGAGGAAACTGACACCGAGGAAGGTCTAGGCCCTTGATTAACATCACCACCGGCTGCTGCGGATGCCTGGATCTGAAGAATCCGGCGCTCCTTCCATCCCTGTCTCCACTCCCCTTATAGGTCTCAGCTCCCAGCCCGCCCTACTGGGTGCATGTTATGGGTTGAACTGTGTCCCCTGCCCACCCCACTCCCCCAGGTATGTTGAAGCCCTAACCCTCAGTATCTCAGAATATGATTTCACTTGGAAATGGGATCATTGTAGGTGTAACTAACTGAGGTTACACTGGGTTAAGATGGGCCCTTAATCCAATATGAAGATGATATGAAGACACAGGAGAAGAGTGCCATGTGACAATAAAATAAGAAATAGGAGTTAGCAGCTGCAAGGACTGGCAGCAACACTAGAAGCTAAGAAAAAGACATGGGACAGATTCTCTCCTAGAGCCTTCACAAGACCATCATGCTGTGGCTTCTGGCCCCGAGAACCATGAGAGAATAAATTTCTGTTGTGTTCAGCCACCCAGTCTGTGGCAACTTGTTACAGCAGCCCCAGGACACTCATACAGTACATCCTGGCTTGGCTGTAACTGGACCACAGGTTGCTAATGTCTAACGGGATCTGTAACTCCCGCCCTGGCAGTCGGTCATTCTTAAACCCATCCTGAGAGACAGCTGTCTCACAGTGAGGACCCCAGAAGGCAAGCTGTAACCAGGATAGGTTGACCTCTCCCCAAAAAGGAACGATAGGGTGCACAGGAACTTGTGGGAAAAGCACAGAGCTCCAAAGCACTGGGTCTGGGGATCCCCCAGTCCATACGTGTAGCTGCTAATTCCAGGCATAAAGAGGTTCCATAGGCACTCTTCCCTCTTCCCTGCTCAGGATTATGTTACAACACACAATTAAGAGACTTGATTTGGCCACTAAGTTCCTGGCAATACCTCCTTTCAGAGACTATAGCCAGTCTTCTTAGGAGACCACTAAATCAAGTAGAAAAACCATTAGACATAGAGGTATAAAAGTCCTGTTCAACTACTTACTGCCTCCATAATCTTGGGCAAGTAATTTAAACCCCCTGCTGAACCTCAGTTTTCTCATCTGTAAAATGGAGCTAACGCTATATTCCCTTCTTACCATCTAGGCTCAATATAACAATATTAGTAAAGAGCACCATTTAGCCACTGCTTACTGGGTACCAGGTACTGTGCTGAACACACTGAGATGGTTACAGCAGAGTCCAGGGGCCAGCGTTCCTAGGTTTGAAACCAGTTCTATCCCTTATTATGTGTCTGATTCTAGGCAAGTTACAGAATCTCTCTGAATCTCAGCTTCTTCAACTGTAAAATAAGGATGATAAAATTTTCCATACAGGGTTATTACGGGAATTAAATGAGATGAAATATGCAAATTCCATGGTAGCCTATATCTAGTAAGCCTTCAATAAATGGCTATTAACATAATCTTATTTAGTCACCCTTAGCTACCCTCTGCAATGTGATTATCCTGATTTTATATTTCTCATCTCCTGCTCATATCAGGAGCTCAGTATGTAGTTTGTGGCCCCAGCTGGGGTTCTAAGGCCAGGAGAGTCCAGGGGCTTGGGCTACCAGTGACAAGACAGGTTCATTGTAATTGTTAAGCAGTGGAAGATCTCAGTCTGGAGTGCTATGTAGAATGCTTCCTTAAAATGAAAAAAGAAGAAGAAGATGGGGAGCATATATCTTAACTGGTAGAGCACCTGCTTAGCATGCATGAGGTTCTGGGTTCAATCCCCAGTACCTCCTCTAAAAATAAATAAACCTAGTTACCTCCCCCTACCAAAATAAAATAATACAATAATAAATAAAACATAAAGCTCTTTTTAAAAAAGAAAAAAGAGAAACTTAAAAAAAAAAAAGAAGAGAAGATGTAAATTTGACCCGGACTTTGAAAGATTGGGAGAATTTACTTGGGTATCGAGGAGAAAGGAGGACATTCTGGGTGGGGAAATAATGGTGTAAAGGTGTAGAGGCAGAGACTTGCAAAGCATGCTCATTCATAAACCTGTCTGGCTGGAAGAGAGAGAGTGGGTGTAATGAGTGAGAATGTATGGACCAGAAGGGAAAGGGAGGGTGAGACCACCTCCATGCTGGGAACAAGCTCATCCTCCCAGAAAGTCACCTGCCCTTCTGCCCACAGTTGGTGAGTCATTAATTAACACAGGGTCTGTTGCCATCCTTTGGAGCCACTGTGGATTCCCACTTTCTAGGTTCGCATGGTGAGTTACTTTTCCAACCTCACTGAAAGAGCTACATTTTCATGCAATGAAAATGGAAATAATAATATCTTGTGCAATTGATGTGTGTCAAAGGAGAATATTCCAAAGGCTTGTGCTATACACCAGAAATTGACCCAACATTGTAAACTGACTATACCTCAATAAAAAAAAAATTCCAAAGGGATGTGTAACCCTCAGTGTTACTGTAGTAATGCTCCTGGCACAGCTCAGCAAATGCTCAGTGTGTACTTGTTACTGTGTAGCTCTTCAGGGGTGGGCTGTGGCTGCCCTTATCAGAATCATCAGTATGCCTTTCCAACCAATGGAAGGTACACGAGGCAAATTTACAATTTACTGATGGATCGTTTGTTACTTGCTGTGTTACAGTATGTCACCCAGGACTTACTGGGGACCAGTCAGCTGCAGAGCACACATTGAGACATGGCCCAGGGCAATACTGATGTAACGAAGGCAGCATTCCTGCCTGCCCCAGAGCTGCGTGTGGCACTCCATCTAGATTGCTCTATGCATCCTCAAATGAATTGTAGGTGGATTTACTGCGATCCACGTGGTGCAACCAAGGAAAAGGATACTTCCTGGTGTCCGTAGGAGAAATAAAATACAACAAGGAGAAACTCAGTCTTAGTTCCACCTGGAGAATGCGGGGGAGGAAGCTCCCCTGGGAAGTGCAGCATCTCCCCCTTCACCTTGCTGCCCCCGGGCAGGTTGAGCTGCCAGAAACTCCAGAGAGGTCCGTGGCGGGACCTCAGTGCTTTTAAGGGCGGGGTACAGATCTTAAAACTACTACACAGGGCATGTTTATCCGCACATAATAAAAATTGTATAAATGTATGTGATTACACTCAATGAACAAAAATAATAAATATAATAAATAATGCACAACAGGCTGCTGGTATCTTTGCCCCTGTGTCTGTGTGTGTTTTCCGTCCAGTCCATATGGACGCCGGATCTGCCAGGGTTTGAAACCGACGCAGCTCAGTAAAGCAGTGCTCCAGGCCAGAGGAGGGCATTTTGGCAACATCAGACTTGGGCCCAGACTCGGCAGACTGAGTCCCAGGTCCCACAAGCACCCCGCACCTGCGACAGCAAGAAGAAAAGCTGGACCCCCCAAACCTAAAGAGGACTGCATTTGCTCACGTGAGTTAGCCCTGAACGGGACACACACGCTCAGTGGCTCAGCACACACACCACCGGGAAAGGAGGCCCAGGGCCAGGTAGGCCACTTGCTCAGGGCCCTCAGGTCCCCACCCCCGGGTATACATAGCTGACACTCTAGCCTGACGCCAGCAGATTCTTCCCAAAATCAGAGCATAGGACTGGTTTCTTTTGCTATGAAACTCCTGCAGAAAAAAATGACCATATACTAGAATTACAGTAAAAAAAATTTAATAATTGTAATTTGCACATAGTTTCTCTTCTTGCCCACATACATTTGCAAAACATTTTAAAAGAGAGATTTTAGCTTTTGAGGTCTGTTTGGACTTGTATTTTTCAACCTGTGGGTCATGACCCATTTGTCAACCATAAATCAATTCAATGAGTTATGACCAGCCGTTTTTAATTAAGTAGAATTGAATAGAACAATAGGGTAGTAATGTCTCATGAACCTTTTGTTTCATGCACTTGTGTAAAGGGTGATAATATAAAATGTACTTCCTACTGAGGATTACAGTCAAAACAGCATAGACACCACTGATTTTCACCACCATCCCCATTGTGTCAGGGGACCCTTGGATGGTCCTGTCTGGACAGCAGAAGCTTTAGCCAACACCTCCTTCATGGATGTACAGCAAGGCTCTTTCATTTCCAGGAAAAAATGTATAAAAGCCCTAACTGGAAGAGAAACACGTAAAGCAAGGGACGTTCTGCAGTCTCTATGTCCCGCACAGTTGGGGAAACTCTCGGGTGCTTGCTGCTTGGTTGGAGCTCTTTTGAAGAAAGGAGGAAGCCCAAAAATTGTAAAAAAAAAAAAAAAAAAAAAAAGAAAGGAGGAAGCCCAACTCCAGGGCCTGTCAAGAGACAGGGAAGTTGTAACTTGGTGTCACCACTGTCAACCAGCGTGGGTTAAAAGAGGGAGGCTGGTCCCTCAGTGGAGGAGGTGCGGTGACCAGCTCCATGCAGCCTGACAGTGGACAGACCCTTCTCTGTCCACCCCTCCTGAGACACACAGAGGGGCAGTGCTCGGCTCCCCTGGACTTTTGAAAGAGTTCAAGGGGAGAGGCCTCGCCATCTGAGCGTGAGCAAGCAATGCGAGTTTGATGTTTCCAAATGTTCTCTTGAGTAGAAAATAAAGCGATTTGATGGAATGCACTTCGATGTCTGTATCTCCAAGTTATGATCCTCACTCACTGCCTTATAAGCAGCACCTGCTCATCAGTTTGGGTCCAGATCTTTGGCCCAGAATCCCCTAACGCACTCCTTTATCCAGAATCAGAGGGAAATGGCGTATTCCAGATGGATAAGACCTTCCACAAAACCAACTTACCCCATTAAGCATAGAATATTTTTTTAATCTTAAAGGAAGGGAAGGAAATAACAAGTTTATACTGTATGGCACAGGGAACTATATTCAATATCTTGTAGTAACATATGGTTAAAAGGAATATAAAAATAAATATATATATGTTCCCATATGACTGAAGTATTGTGCTGTACACCAGAAATGGACACAATTGTAAACTATACTTTGATAAAAGTATATATATAAAAAATTAAATTAAATTAATAAAGGAAGGAAGGAAGGGTAGGGAAGAGAAAAGAAATCCTCTAAACCATGCCGATCCCCCAGACCACTGCCCTCTGGAGGGCCATAACTGGCCCCTGCATCCTTCTCACTGCTCCCTCAACCCAGGGATCCCTGACCAGGCCCTGCCCGCCTGTCACCACCCAGCCAGCCTGCTGTCCTCCCATAGATATCAGGACATTCCTCTGCCCACCAAAGCCCCCCAACTATGGAGTCGAGGGACCCTTCAAGGACCTCCTCCTCCCTTTCCGCCAGTCCTCTGCCATCTCCCCTCTCCCGTGAGGTCCTTCAGGATTATCTGTGTCACATAACTTAGTATTTTACTATATTTTGTTTGCTGTTTCATTCACAAATCTCTCTCAAACGGGTTCCTAAGAGCTTTAGGACAAAGATATCATTTGCTTCCTGGGTATCATTTCCTATCGTACAGCAGAGGGTCTTGGGAACTATTGAACAAACAAACGAAACCAGCCAGTGGTCCCTGACCGTGTGGGAGCAGTCCGTGCCCTCCGTCTCCGGAGAGAAACACACGCACCTTTCTTTTAAAAAGTCTTCAAACTCTTTGCAGTTCTTGCGGCCATTGTTCAGATGCTGGATGATGCTGTCGTAGCCAACGGTGCTGAGGATGTCTGGGCTCTGGGGAGAAAAACAACCCTGTGTCAGCCTGGGGATCGCGATGTCAGCAGCCCCGAGGCCCAGAGCGCGGACGGGGTGGGACACGGGGAAGCCGGCCGTGGGGAGTTTCTGAGACACTTTACCTCCCAGACACATGTGACTAAGAAAGACAAAAGAGAAGTTGGGAATGCATGTAGCCATGGAAAAGTTCTTTAAATTATGCAACGAAAGGGCCACAAAACAGGAAGGAAGTGACAGAGGATTGAGAGGAACATGGATGAAGGAGCTGGCCGGGCTCGGGGCCCCTCCCAGGGTCCCCACCACGCCCTGATCAGGGCAGACAGGGAGCCAGAACCCAACCCCGGCCCTCGCAGGGTGACCCTTCATCCCGCCAAGGGGAAACTCTCTCACACCAAACCGGGGTACACGGTGTTCCCTGTGACCAGAGCTTGACCCTGACATCTCTTCCCACAGCCAAGAAGCCTGGTCTAAGGGTCAAGGGCATCGCTGAGCCAGGCCCCAGGAGTAGGGAGAGGGGCCGGCTTCCCACCGTAACAGGAAGGGGAGCCCAGCAGCCAGAGGGATCCGCATGGTCTGGCTCCAACTTTTTAACTTTAAATGAGCCATTTATTCCTAGTTTATTATACCACGTGCTCTGAGGCTGGAGGAAGCTGCCTCAGTCTCCCAAAGCAGCAGTCCCTGATGCAGTATATTTTAAAAATCAAAGTCCCCTTAGCTCCCCAAACCAACAAGCCAGGCGTTCTAAAGACACCCCCTGAAGTGCCCCCATGCAGCTGATTCCCCGGTTTCCCCCAAGTGTGTGCAATAGGTGGTCTGATCCAGACTCCAGTCCCTCAGGGAGGTTGGTTAGGTCGCCTCTGGGTGTGTCCTGGGGACTTTGAAGTCACCACCTCCAGTCCAGCCCTCAGTTTGCTGAGGGAAGTGCGACTCTGCGACTGGGTCGGGTAGGGACCTCCTGAAGACAACTCTCTACCCAGCCCTGGGCACTGGCCAAGCAGAATTGCTCTCTTCCATTTGCTGCCACTTGTCACGGCCTGGCTGAGCAGATCCCAGAGCGACCCAGCAGGACTGACGCTGATTTCAACCTGGATCCAGAAACTTAACCGACCATAACTCACACAGCATTTAAACAAACAGATTATTATAAATATAAGAAATTTTACACATGAGGATATAAATAAATCTAAGTTAGAAATATGTTTAATTCTACAGGTTGTGGCTGTTGTTTGAGCCTAGTTTTAGGCCTTAGGAAGGAAGCCCAAGGAAGTAGCCTGCACCAAAGCTCCATTTCTCCACCCACCTGCACACACACTTCCGTCTTAGCCGTGCAAGCCTGGGACTGCCTCTGAAATGCAGCGTTCAGTGGCAACTCTAAGACGACGCTTACATTATCCCCTCCTGAATCCAAATGCAGCCCCTCACCCTGCACGGTCTCTGGCAGCCTTCCCGAGCAGCCCTAACGCTCCCTCCTCTGGGCTGTCAGACTGCCCAGCTCTGAGCTTGCTCTTTGGTATCCCCCAGGAGAGAGGCCTCCTGTCCCAACGCGCCTGCAAGGGCCTGCAGCTTCTTCCAAGTCCTGAACCACTGCTGTACACACACACACACACACACACCCCAAAAATCTAGCTTAATATTATGCACACCAAATGTCCACTGTAAAATTCTGGGGGATGAAAATGTGAGTTGTGTTCCCAGCCAGATACATTAGAACAATGAACACAAAGACTCCGAAGGGAGTGAGGGAATGAATGCGCGCAAAGGGTCAATGTCCTTGCTGATCTGCAGACAGAAATGCTTTGGTCTTCCTAGAGAAGTACACTTGACTTCAAAAAGGTGGTTTTCTTTTTCTTAATCAAGGGTGTGGACTCTTTGAGGTGGGTAAGGAGGGTGGCGCCAGACTAGGATTTCCTGGAAACAAACCTAATCACCAGGCCTCTTGGCCACCAGCCTTAAAAAGCCAGAACTGCTGCTTCAGAGGAGTGACTGACTCCAGAGGCAACCAAGAAAGGAGGTCTCCAAGAGAAAACAAAGATGCCCACGGCCAAGTTCAAACTGGTGGGGGATTTGGCCCGGACCCTCCTTCCTAGGCTACTCAGAGAGCACTGGGGAGAAGCTCTGACTGGCAGGAGTCAGAATAGGAGGGCCAAGCAGGAAAGAAAACTATGAGGACCAGGATGGTACCACAGACTTGCCATCAGAAAAGGGTGTGCCAAACCCATAGCCCCATATCCTGCTTTCCAGTAGCCCTGATTCTCTCCCCTGGCTTTTCCCATGGTGGTCTCTCCCTTGTCCACCAAGTGGGCAGCACACATTTCTACCCCAGGACCTTTGCATGTGATTTCCCCATGACGGGAAGGGCATCTCCTCCTCTTCACTGAAATCCCACCTATGCTTCAGGGCCAATTCAAATCCCACATCCTCTCTGAAGTCCTCCTCAAATAATTTGTCCCATAGTCTCCTTTCCCTCTTCTGGATACCTGGAGTGTTGGATGCTGATCCCCCCCTATTTGGCTCTTAGTATCTCTTAGTATATTATTCTGCATCATTAACTAATATCTTCCAAAAATTAACTTTGCAAAGCACATCTGGATTACACCCAATCTTTATCACCCACAGTAGCTTCCACATTAATGGTGTTGAAGAAATGCCTGCTAACTGTATATCAACTACAGACAAGGTACTGAAATATGACAGCTCTTACAATCGGAGAGCCCATTGTTCACTTAGGGAGTCATTAAAAGACATGTACACAAAACAAACATGTATGCATAAGGAAAATTAGAGATTAAAATAGAATATAAGACTATATAGAGAAAAGATATAATAAATGAGGTGGAAAAGAAAAAGTAGGCTAGAATCATCAGGAAAGAGAAGAAATAAGATTTAAACTGAGTCTTTTTTAAATGTCTGGGATTCAACAAGAAACTGGAAGATGTTTTAAACCAACAGATAGTGAAAGAAACAACACGTCAAAATTTATGAGATGCAGCAAATAGTTCTTGTAGGGACACTTGTGGCTCCAAATGCTAGTATTAGAAAAGAAAAAAAAGGCTTTAAAATTAATGATCTAAGCTCTCACTTTGTGGAGCTACAGAAAGAAGAAATTTAAACCTGCAATAAGGAGAAGGAAGGAAATAAAAATTAGTGGAATGCAATGAAATAGAGATGGACAAACAATAGAGAAAACTAATGAAACCCAAACTTAGTCCCTTGAAAAGTTAAATAAAATCAGTGAACCCATAGTTGTGCTGATCAAAAAACAAGAGACTGCAAGAAAAAACACAAATTATCTATGTCCTCAATCTGACAAAGCACATCTACAAAAGCCTACAGCTAACAGCTTAATGGGGAAAGACTGAGCACTTTCCTCCTAATGAGGAGGAAATCAGGCAAGAAAAAAATTAAGAGTGTACGAGCCGAGGGGGAGGGGATAGCTCAGTGGTGGAGCACGTGCCTAGCGTGCACAAGGTCCTGGGTTCAACCCCCAGTATCTCCATTAATAAAATAAATAATTAAACCTAATTACCTCCCCCTACAAAAAAAGATTAAAAAAAAAAGAGTATATGTGCCAGAATGCAAATAGTAAAACTGCCTTTGTTTGCAGACAACATGACGGTGAACATAGAAAATCTTAAGGAATTTACCCCCCAAATTACTAGAACTAATGAATTTAACAAGGTTTCAAGGCACAAGGTCAGTGCACAGAAATCCATTATATTTCCATACATCAAAAAAGTTAAACATCATTTACATGACATAAAAGATATAAAATACTAGGAATAAATGCTTAAAAGGTTATACAAGCTTCCTTCACTAAAAATTACAATGCATTACTGGTAGAAATGAAAATAAAAGTAGCTATATACCATGTTTGTGGACTGAAAGAGTAAATGTTGTTAAAACATCAATTTTCTCCAAATTCATCTAGAGAATCAACATAATCCCATCAAAATCCCGGAAGTTTTCTCTGTAGAAATCTGTAGATTAGCCTAAAACTTATGTGGAATTAAAGGACCTAGAACAGGCAAAAAAAAAAATTTTTTTTAAAGAAAAACAGAGTTGGAGATTTCTTACCACCTGCCTTCAAAACTTTCTGGGAAGTTACAGTAATCAAAACAGTACAGCACTGATCTGAGGGCCAGATGAGGGGCTCAATGGGGCAGGACAGAAGCTAGGAAGAGACACACGTGCCATTGACTCCAAAAGGGGAAGTGACAGTCTTTCGGACAAGTGGTTCGGGGACAGCTGCGTAAAGCTGGGGAGAGAAGAGCCTCTGCTCACACTGCACACACAGCTCACAGCGCACACACTGCCCACACTGAACAAACTGCTGACACTGCTGACATTGCACACACTGCTCACACTGCAAACACTGCACACACTGCTCAAAATGCACACACTGCACACTGCTTAAACTACAAACACTGCTCACACTGTTCACTCTACACACGGTGCTTACACTGCTCACTCTGCTCACATGCTTACACCGCTTACACTTACCACTACAAACACTGCACACACTGGTCACACTGCTCACTCTACAACACTGCTCACACTGCACACACTGCTCACACTGCTTGTACGGCTCACATTGTTCACACTGCATACACAGCCCACTGCTAACACTGCACACACAGCTCAGACTGCTAACACTGCTCACACTATACACACTGCTTACCTTGCTCACACTGCACCCTCTGCTCATACTGCACACACTGCACACAATGCTTACACTGCTTACCCTGCTGACACTGCACACACTGCTCACACTACACACACTGCTCACACTGTTGACACTGCTCACTACACATACTGCACACATGCCCACACTGCTCACACTACACACACTGCTCACTACAGGCACTGCTCACACTACACACATTGCTCACACTGCACACACTGCTCAACTGCACACACTGCTCACACTGCACATGGTACTCACTACACATACTGCTCACACCGCACACAATGCTCACACTGCACACAATACTACACACACT